AACACTGGACGTACCCTCGCCCTGTTATCTCTCTGTGTGTGTGTGTGTGTGTGTGTGTGTGTGTGTGGAGATTTTATCACAGATCGCATAAAAACCCGCAAAAAATGGACCTTGGTGACTTTCCATTACGAGGATCATTTTGAATATACTAATGAGTTACTTCAGGAAAAACTGCACAGCTCCCTATTATGGTAGCAAAGTGAAAAATGTAATGAAAAAGAAACATACATTATCATGACATTCACATCCATTTTTTTTATGTATCCTTTATTCAAGCATGTGTGGGAAATGATCATCTCATTTAAAATATCATTGTTTTGTTTTTCACTAACATTGATGGTCACTAGGGAATATGTTGTCCATCTTTAACGCAAGAAACAAAAGTCTTATGAAATATAAGGGAGTTTGATTTCAGTATGTTTAAGTTTTGAGCATATTTCTTATCAGACTAACATTGTGAATCACAATTACTTTGGCCATGATGGTTGCTAAATTACATTTTTAGATGGTCCCATGCCGAGTGTATGTATTTGTGTTTACATGAATCAAATGGATTAATCTAATGGGTGATGATGATATAAGAAGTAGCACAACATTGTTCTAAAATCATCCCTGTCCTGTGTTTCCTCTCTCGTAGCTGAGTATGGTGCGCAGTATGCTGTCCTGGAGCCCCAGCGAGCGTCCCGAGGCAGTAGAGATCACAGGGACCCCCCTCTTCCAGGAGCTGGAGCTGCCATGGCGGGTGGTGGTGAGGCAGCGCTCCCGCACCTACAGCGCCTCGTCCATGGGCCGGCCGTCACGGCAGACATCGTCTACCTGAAAGCCCCGAAAATAAAAAAAACGCAATATGTAAACCCTCTGTCCCAAGATCTCCATGTTCCCCTGCTGGTCTGCAGCCCCTCTGCAATCACACACTGCCTCAGACTTTATAGCCGAGTTTGACGAGTAAATGTGCAGGACGTTATATTTTTGGAGTCCTGAACAGTAACTCTCCTTGGCACACTCACATGCAGTTACATATTCACACACCATTACGCTGCCCACGTTCCCAATTGTAATCACACTTGCAAGCGAAATATCTTTTTTAAAAGGAGCAGCCGTTCTTTAATGTTCTCGACCAGACTTGGCTCAAGCGGTACAGGCAAATAATTCTGAGTGGTTATTTTAAATGGCATTAAGTACCAGTGTAGACGCAGCTATAACCACAGAACATTAGAGCTAATTGGTTTTGAAATTTTTACCTGTTAAGCAAGTGGCATTTTCCTCACTCTGACTTCACAAACTCAATCATCTGGTACTCGGACATTATTTTGGATATCACTTGTTACCGGTCTGGTCCTGACGTGCCGCTTGCTCCCAACATTCAGCCAGTGTTCACTCACCCACACTACACCTCAGGTATCAAAACCAAGAGGACACTCCAGAGGGGCCTTCGATGCTTGATCATCATCTGCCAGTGAGCAGCGCTGATCACTGGTGCGAGCACTATCTGGTGTTCTGACACCCTAAATGCCTGATATGGGAGACCAAAAAAAAGACCGTCTTCTTTTTCCTACGTGTTTTTTTTAATCGAGAGAAGGTGATGTAGAGAAGAGTTTTATGAATCCGGATCATCAGATATGGTTTGCCTTTAGAATGAATGCTGAACCTCCTGTCTCTTTCCTGCATGTTCCTGATCGCACAGTGAAGGCGTGAGTTTGTTATCTTAAAGCCAATACTTGGAAGCAGTTTTTTCTGTGTGTAAATTTACACAATGACTCTGAGGTGCTCAATCATTTTACAACACCTCGTCTTTGTACATATGAAGAAAAATCTGTTTATATCCTGTTCTTTCTTAAAACAGACGATACGTTTGATTAATCCTGTACATATTGTAAGGCGCCATGGCTTGTAAATGGCTTTTTTCATGAGGCTACTGTAAGATAGTGTGATATACTGTGAGAGGGGGAGCAAAGAGGAGACGATCGATCTCTGCCATTAATGGATAGCTGAATGTTATAGTGTGACCTCCAGAGACAGATAATGATGATGACGGTGGTCACCTCTACTCGCTATTTGAAATTATTCTCAGTGTTTGTCTTCATGTGTGTGGGGTCCCAAGTGGAAGGGGTTCACCCTGCTTTTAGCACCACAGTAGAGCCTGCAGGACCAGAGTGCCATTTGAAAGACAGTAAAGTGTACTTTTCAGTAACTAATAACTCACCTCACATGTTTGGGATTTGTGCTACTGTGCTCCAACCCTGTCCAGCTGGTGTTCCCGGTGAAGCACGAGAAATACTGAGGTGTGCAGCAGCCTTCCCATGATGAGGAAATCAGCATTTAGTCACAAAGATGAAACTGTTTAATCCCCTTTACGTTGTCTCCTGGGGACCTGGACCTGATGTTGGTCATGTGATCCACACTAGCATTGTTTTATGTACATAACAAGCGCTGGGAGAGTCACATGACCTGTTTGTAACTTCACACACAAACTGCTAATTGTTATGTGCTTTCAATGATTGTACTTTTCTATCTTCTCTTCTTTCGACTTTTTTATTTTAATAAGCGCAGTTCTTTTGATTATTCTGCAGGGTTTTGATTACTGTAAAGTCTTGACTGTGTTTGACACAGGAAGTCAAACTGAGGTTTGTTCATCCATCCATTCAGCCAATTGAAGAAGAGTCATTTATTGCTGTTATATCTCTCCTTAAGGTTTAAATGCAGACTGTTCTCCCACAGAGATAAGGGTGGAAACTCCAGGGAAACTTGGAGGACAATTTCCATAACGGCATGTCCTCAAGTGAGG